AAATATGAAATCACATTTTTCCTGTAAAAAAACATTTTACAATTTCCATCCTAAACACTTCAGATGTCTTTAGCTTTTTTCTAACAGGTACAAATTATGTTTTGTTGCAGTGACTCTTCACAAAGTGTGGTTAAAAAGGGCTTTTTAAAAAAGGTAAGTCCTCTTCCATCAAATTGTTATTAAAATATTTTATTTTCTCACTCCAGCTTTTGTGTTGCAGGTGAAAATGTCGTCGCTGAAGAGAAAGAGGYCAGAAAACACAGCAGACATCAGAAACTATCTTGGGAAGGAAAATGTGAGTGAATGCTTGATGGATCACATATCAGTGTTCATCTGAACCGCTTGTTTGACCGTTTCTATTTAATCATATACTTTTTTTTCAATCTAACTAATGCAGCATACTTTATCTGCTCAWACACCCACCAGGAGTTAAGTCASATTTAGTCAAACTAAACACTTTCATAATCCTGTTTTGATCATTTGAACAAATCCAGATATGGTAAARGGACTGTACTTATARAGCACTTTTCTARCCATCCAGGACACTCAAAGCTCTTCACACTACAATCTGTGTCCTCATMRATCCATTCACACAMCACRCTYTTAGGTCTCTACAGAGCTAACATGTACAATCATCTGTGGAGACTAATCAGTGCCAATCACATTCATACACTGATGGGACATCAGAGGTGAAGTGTCTTGCCCAAGGACACAACAACTGAAACAGCTGGARAGGYGATRGATCCGACGACCTTCCGGTTCCAGGACGACTCCCTTAACCACTCTGCCACAGCCGCCCCAATGGCTTCAACTGTCTTCATAATCCCAATAACTCTTGGAAAATGGGTATTTTTTGCCTATTAATGAGGATTTATTGGCTTTATTTGGGTGTCTTTATTCATTTATTTATTTATACGGGTGGCTGTGGTGTAGTGGTAGAGCAGCCGGCTTTGGGACCCACAAGTCACAGGTTCGACTTCCCGCCATGCCCACATGCTGTTGTGTCCTTGGGCAAGACACCACCCACCTTGCCTACTGATGGTGGTCAGAGGGTCCGGTGGCGCCTGTGTGTGGCAGCCTCGCCTCTGTCAGTGTGCCCCAGGGCAGCTGTGGCTGCAGTGTAGTTTGCCATCATCAGTGTGTGAATGGGTGAATGTCTGTATGTGTGACGCGCTTTGAGTGTCCTGGATGGATAGAAAGGTGCTATATAGTCCATTTACCATTTACATTTATTTGATAGAGGAAACAACAAACCATAAATTATATCTGCTGGTATTGAACAACAGCGTCATATCTTTTACAATATACAATAATAGCTCAGTCGTGTCCACTTCCAACTAGTAATTCAGTTATGGCTGTAGGACTTTTTCATTAAAGGTCAAATGAAGGCTATAGTTTGTCAAATATCAGTATAATATGTTATATGCAGTATGAATATCAATAAAATGTATAAATATTGTCATAAATGTGACCAAAACATGCGATTTTTCTACAAAATGCATGAAAACCAGAGTTTGAATTTCCATTAAGAGCTCCTGCATAAGGCACAGCTTGTGTGACTTCACAGTTGTGGAACAACACTTGCTCCTCATAAGGATCCCCTGTAGAAGCAGCTTTTGTTTTTAAAGTTTTACGTCATTTTGTAGACTTAAGTGGTGCATGGTCAGCTGCCAGCTTGTTTTAATTTTCCGAGACATWTTTAATAATAAACCACATTAAATAATCTCATCAAAAAAACAATTATTAGCCCTGTGATGGACTTGTGACCTGTCCAGAGTGTATCCCACCCCTTAAAATGTGACCGCTGGATATGGGCACCAGTGACCCCGGGTATAGATAATGAAGTTTATTGTTATTTTCCTTTTGACYTAACATCTAAACCTTTTTGGATTTGGGGTTGTTCACACACTGCTGTATATGTGGTAACTAAAACAGTTCATAGAAGATATGTCTGTTTATCTATCACTGAAACTGTTTGCAWGCTTTGTTCAAACTGCATGGCAATCYGAGGACGAGTGAAATCAGCTTRAACCACAGTTAGAGATTCAACAGTAATTATTAATCTGTTCCTCATCTCGCAGAGTCCACCWCGTACTGCACTCAGTGGGAAGGATCGAAATGACCGTCAGCCTCTGGTGAGAAGAAACAGAAATACAGACCCTCACAGATTTCTACCTTGTACACAAGGAAAAAAAATTACTGAAAATCAGTAATTGTTTCTGAATTTTGGTTCAATAGAGTTATTAAAAAAAACTAATGAAGTACAAGAGTAAGAATGATAACGTCTGTAGGCCATCTTCTACTATTATATAATAAAAACTCAGACATCACTCTGTCCAGCTCCTCCTGTTGGACKCCAAGATGTTCCCGGGTAAGAGAGACTATAACCCACCTAATAAGTTCTGGGCCTGCTAATTAGGGTCTCTTCCCAGTGGGACATTGCCAAAAAAACGACTAAAGGGAGGCGTCCAGGAGACATCCTAATCAGATGCCTAAACCGCCTCAGCTTGATGCAGAGGAGCAGGGATGTACCACAAGCTAACCCTCAGACTGAGCTCCTCGCCCTAAATTTAAGACACCAGGAAGGTGGTCTCCAGTCCTGTGGACCTTCTGAATAATCTGGGCAGCTGTAGTCACAGGAACATTCAGCTGATTGGGGAGGCCTTTAACATGATGTCAATCARTGTCTAAGATCTTGAGACACTCTGTCCTCAGCTTTCTGTAGTCCATGTTCAGAGTGGTACACACCTTGYTACCAAACAMCCCTGTGACTACCAGACACACTTTAAACAGGCTGACTTGATTTCAGGACACATCTGAGTCCAACKTGTCCCCATGGACWGAKTAGTTTCAATCTATTCTTGATTTACCATCCTTTTAGTGAAGAAKAGGTTTATTAGATTTTTCTTATGCAGTTGAACAAAAATCAGAACTCATGACTAATTTTCATTAGTACATTTTAAATACTAATATCTTTTTTTAATCTTGTCATTTTTATGTAATTTCATTGACTTCTCTGTGTTTTTCTTTCTTTAATGAAAGGGCACAAACAACTTTGTCCACATCTGTAACTGCATGTTCGGAATGACAAACAAMTTTTTGTTTTAAAATCAAACTTTGCCTCTCTGACTTCCCACAGATTAGACCTTCAGCGTTTGGGGAAAGAAGCTCCAATCTCAGCAAAAATGAAAAGATGGAAACAAGGAGAACAGGGGATCTGAGGTTTCAGCACACCCACCTCATTTAGGTGTTGGTGGATCTCTTATTAGACCACGCAGCAAAGAGAAGTCTGAAAATCAGGATCCAAACCAGCTTCTTCAATGGGAAAAGAAGATATTGGGCAAGAACCATGGCACACCCTCCCCACCAAGGGTCGACAACTATTTCCTGAAAACGTACAAGAATGTTTCTCCAACAAAAAAACGAGAAAACACTGAGAGGGTATCAAGCAAAATGTTGGATGAGTTGTGTGTGGGTGTAGATTGTCTGAGCWTAGCACCAGACATAAAAATGATCTTGTTAGAAAGAAGCAAGTCGGTTTGTAAAATCGAWATAACTGGTGCAGAGCCTGGACATGGATCAGGCTTTGTGTTGGTTGATAATGTTATCATGACTTGTGCTCATGTGTTRAGAGGTTTCCTGGAAGGAAAAAAGCTAAAGGAGGGCATAAAAGTTTCAGTTTTGTTTAACTTTCATGACCCTCAACCAGTCAGCAACAATTTTGTTTTTACTGTAGAGAAAATAATTGTTGCCATCAATGAGAAGCTAGACTGTGTCTTTCTGAAGCTCAAACCAAACCCCAACCAGAAAGTCCCATCAGGACTCCTGGAACAATATGGTCCAGTACCACCTGAGAATGGCAAGATCTTTATCATTGGTCACCCAAGAGGAGAAGCAAAAAAAATGAACTTRGCGTTCATCATTGAGCTTGAAAACAGAGAACAGGCGATTCGTGACCATTTATCTCCTCACAAAGACAGTATTTTTATTRGTTTATCAATTATTCAAATTATTGAGAAACAAGGCATCCAAGACATAATGATCAGTGGAGTTAAAGCAAACGAGGTAGAGACTTACAGCACTACGATGATGTTTAAAGGTGCTTCTGGCTCTCCGGTGTTAAATGCTGATGGCCAACTTACTCTGATGCACACTGGAGGATATGGTTATGGGTTTCCGCATCTGCACACTGTGTTGGAGTACGGTCAACGTCTGGACCTTATAGTTCAAGACTTGGTGTGTCAGCTGAAGGAAAGTGGAAATGTGCCACTGCTYGAAAGAATTGAGTTTGTAGCATCAAAGAATGAGCACCTTAAAAAGGTGCTTGAGGCTGGCAAATGGAAGTAGATTAGCTACCAAAGGAGTTTATGAGGAAACTCAACTRTACATTTTTTTTTACTGGTTTTAGCTTGTTTCCTGGCTTCTATATAGAACAACTTGTTTTGTAATTTGAAGCATTTTCTCTTTGTAAAAATAACATTTTGACCAAGTCAAGAGTAAATTCTTGTTTTGATTTTAGGCTACTTGTATCTTGATTCTAATAAATTTCACTGTCTGTGTAAACTTTTATACTTCTTCTATGTCTTCTTTTATACGTCTTCTTTTCTCAGTTTATTTTCTTGAAGAACATCAGGGTCAAACAATGAATGAGCATTGTGTTAGTAAAATTTGCTTTTAAAATCTCACCACCACACAAATGGATTCAAAGMTTTGTATGAAATGAAAATTAGACAAAATAAATGCATGTGAAAATTCATTAGTTGTCTTATTACAAACCTTTAGAGTGAAATCATAAATAAACACTTATGACACCATATTTGTGTAAAAACCCTGAAATAAGGTCTGGCTTTACTCATAAAATTACATAAAACTACAATTTCTGTCATGGTTGCTGCATTTGGTTTCATTTCATTGTAATGTTTGTGTTGTGTTCAGGTAAGGTTTGAAATATATATACTGTATATATACAG